ATGCGTTTTAATCCAAGTCCCACAATCCATGTCAACACTAACCTCATGGGTACTGAAACCCATTGGGGTCCCCCAGTATCCATGGATTCATTGTGTGCATTTTCCCCTCCTGTGGGTTTCAATCTACTAACCTATCCATTGGGTTCCCTCGCTATCCACAGCACAATTCGTATGTGTTTTAAGCTTTCTTCCCCATGCGTGCCCAGGGTCTCCGCAAGAGGCTGAATCCCCTACGGTGTATGTGAGCCTCTTTTGTATGTGCCTCCCTCGCCACGCGGATACCAGGTCTTCACGAGAGGTTGGGCCTCTGCTATCCGCAAGCCCCTCATTTGTGTTTATGTTTAATGTTTCTATATTTTATGTCTTTATATAAAACCTTGGAGACTGATCTTGGTGACCTTTTGTCAGCACTCCTAGACCTGGGAATGCCTTCCAGCCATTTTCCTGGTTGTCACCTAAGACAATGAACTCAATCACTCATCATCTATGACCCATACCCCTGGCTGTGCAAAGGCAACAAGCTTTGGAACATGACCACGTGTTTCTTGGGCAACCACATGGACTTTTCAAAATACACTCATCACCTTGAGCCCGAGCGCAGCGGGGAGCCCCGCCTTCACATTGGTGTGAGCTGCAGCGGAGAGTTCCGCAGTTCCTGGACCGAGCTTTTGGGACCAACAGATGAAATGTGCCCCGGCAGCTAGCTCAAAACCAGGAATGCTTGCAGTTTCGCCTCGCTTTCCCCTTCCCTTTACTTTGTATCCTTCCCTAATAAAAGTACTTGAAACTTGCTACCTTTTATCTTTCCGCATGCTACTTTTGTATCCTTTTCTTGACTCAAACCAAATAACATTGCAATAGACCTTTTTGGGCTCYGGAGAGCCGTGAGCCCGYGGGAGGCGCCTCCAGGCGCCCCCCGGACCCCGAATCTGCGTTCGCCTAGACCGCGGATAAGGAAACCGCCATTTCAGACCCCCTTATCCACGAAAATACTTAAGATGGCGGATCGCCGCCGTTCCAATTTTATATTTTTCTACAACTAATTCTAAGWCTAACTGYCATTTCCCTTTTCTCGTTTTGGGCTCCTTCACCCGGGGAAAAATTAGTTTTGTTTTAAGTATTTTATCTTGCAGAGAAACAGCTGATTGTCAATTTGGCTGGGCTTTCCGCTCCTCCGCGGCAGTGCTCGCTCCCAATTGGACCCAGCAACCTGGGACCCACGGCGGTCGCCCGTGGGAGCCCCGGAGAGGGGGCCAGGCATGGGTCCCGGGCCCCGACTGGGGAGATACAGTTTCCCAAAGGACATTGCCCCACCATTTACAGCTCGGAAATCCTCTTCGGACTCTTTTGCCCTCACTTATTGACTTTCCACCTTATTGCCTTGAACTGTTTCCCTGCCATACTTTTGGATCCAAACCTCAGACCGGGCTTGCCTGGAGGGACAAGCGGCCTCAGCCTACATGCGCCTTCACCAAGAAGACTATGATTCCTACAAAAATAAAATACATTTATTATTATTTTTAATAAACTTTGCTGGGATGGGGATGGGAATTCATTTATGAGATGTATGAAGTATATGAAGTATATAAGATGTATATAGTGGGATATCATATGAAATGTACCCTGATTCCCCTTCCCGCCTTTCCCTCTGAACTTCGCCCCAAAAAGGAATGTGACCTAAGATTACTGCAAAGAGGAAATCCTTTGTCCTCTCGAAACTGATCATATCTACATCTGCATGGGCCGCAGGATTGACCCTTCCTCAACTGGCTTTCAGAGCAGACAGCCTAGGGCGGGAAGGGTCAACAGAAACTTAGGAAAAAAGATTGATTAACTCATTTTCTAGGTATTTGTTGATCCCCCTTGTTTACAAGGCCCCCTTGTTTACAAGGCCCCGAGGTCCAAATACCATCAGTAGCTCCTTTTTCACCTTTTTCATACTTCCTCCCAAATCCAATCATAGACCGGGGAAACTCATTGTTCCCCTTGTCTGCCACCCCGCCGATGAGAACAAAGGCTCAGTAACAGCTGGCGGATGCCCCCTGGGCACCCCATTTCCCCTGAGCTGTCAAACTTCGTCCCGCCTCCTGGCTGCTGATTGGACCATCGTCGGAGGCGCTAGGAAGGCGCCGATTGGCCCCCTAGAGGCGGCAGAGCTCGCTGATTGGACAGGAGGCGGGACGCACAGTCAAGCCTCCTCCCAGCTGTTCCGCGGCCAGCCAATCAGGGTGAAGCCGGCCGGCAGAGGGCGGGCGGGATTTTTGAAAATGTTTCCTTTGTCTGTACGCTATAAAAATGCCTGGAACTTCTGTAAATATTTATTTATTTATTTATTTATTTACTTTGCTTATATACCGCTGTATCTCAAGCCCAAAGGCGACTCACAGCGGTTCACCCAGCCTCTGCTCTCATGTCCCTTCATGGGGAGCTGGAGCTGAAAATTAGTAGTAGTAGTAGTAGTTCTAATAATAATGAGGAATTCTAGAGGCCATCCAGCCCAGCATGCTTCTGTCATGCAGGAAAAGCGCAGTCAAAGCACCCCTAACAGATAGCCATCCAGTCACTGCTTAATGATAAGTATCAATAAGTAAGTAAATAAAACTATTTCTATCCCGCCCTATCTCCCCATGGAGACTCAGGCGGCTCACAGCATAGTAGTAGTAGTGGCGGTAATAATAATAATAATAATAATAATAATAATAATAATAATAATAGCAGAAACTCTAGAGATCATCCAGTCCAACCACCTTCTGTCATGAAGGAAAAGCACAATCAAAGTACCTTCCACAGATGGCCACCCAGCCTTTGAAATAATAATAATAATAATAATAATAATAATAATAATAATAATAAAAGCACCCTGTGGACCATCCAATCCAACCTCATTCTGCCATGCTAGAAAAGTACAATCAAAGCAACAACAGTAATAATAAGAACAATTCCAGGGGCCATCCAGTTCTACCCCATTCTGCTACGGGCAATTATTGATTTAGAGCTGGGTTTATGGTCTGTTTTATTAAAAATAATTGTATGTCAGGCCAACCGTCAGTGATAGCAAATGTTTGCCATGACTAATTCACATGAATTATGTAATGCTGCAGCGGTTGGTTTTCTTCTTCTTCCTGGTTTGTCTTTTGTGATCCTATAAATCTCGCAGACATGCTTAATCTATGCTTAAAGTGAAGTCAGTTTTTAAAAACAACAAATCTGGATATTCCTGCCAAGCAGCAAAATGGAAATAAATACAGAACATAATAATCTGCAAAATGTTTTATCATCATGGTTGGAGCTCTCGGTGGCACAACGGGTTAATAATAATAATAATAATAATAATAATAATAATAATAATGTAGCAGCATGATAGGAGAGATAATAGCAAAAGAAATCCTTTCTGGAGTAAGAAAAGTACGGCTTTATTTCCAGCTGGGACCCTGGAGTGGAGCTGTGTCCAAAAGCAACCAGAGCCAGGATAAAGGCGTTGACTTCCCCTTTTTATACCTCTCCAAATGCAGGCAAACAAAGAAACATGCTTCTACATACATTGACATCATTCACTACGTCACTTTAGCATCATAGAACTATCAAATTCTATCTTCCAATATACAAGGGGCATGTCTCTATATTTTTTCTGAGAGCAGCTTACAGCTTACATCCATCAATCAAGGGGCCTACTTTGACCTGTCAAGAGGGAGAGAGATTCCTTACTTAGAAGTTAGACACTATAGCATGGGCTATGTTGTACCAGTCTCTCTGGAATGTATAGATAGCAGGTCCCCCTTCTATTCCCCCTTTCAACACAGATCTCCTTCAGCATTCCTTCTCTGTCCTGCTGGCTTTCTTACACAGAGAGAACCTGATTTTTCTATACATTTCAGTTCTTGTCAAGTACATAGAATATATGCATAAATAAATATCTATATTTCCTATATCTTCCCATCAATAAAACCTTATTTACACCCCGCCACCATCTCCCCAAAGGGGACTCAGGGAAGCTTACATGAGGCCAAGCCCGGTAACACATTGCAGCAAAATAAATACAGAATGACAAAAAATAACATCACAATAAAATAAGTAAAATGTAAGAGCAAAATAAAACAGTGCAAAATAACAAAGTGAAAAATCAAACACAATGGGCCAGCCAAATGTATGGCATAAAATGATAAAATTTAGGATGAGATAAGAATGAAAAAGGTATATTTGTAAGGGAGGAACACGTAGGGGACGAAACAGTGGAGACAGGCCCTTGTGCTGGTTAAACCCTTGTGCTGGCAGGACTGAAGATCAACAGGTCAGAGGTTCGAATCTGGGAAGAGTGTGGATGAGCTCCCTCTGTCAGCTCCAGCTCCCCATGAAGAGACATGAGAGCAGCCTCTCACAAGGACGGTAACACATCAAAACATCCTGGCATCCCCTGGGCAACATCCTTGCTGATGGCCAATTCTCTCACAGCAGAAGCGACTTGCAGTTTCTCAAGTTGCTCCTGACATGGAACCCCCCCCCCCCAAATAAACACCATAGTTTATTAAAGCAACTCCAGGCCCTTCCACACAGCCCTATATTCCAGAATAGCAAGGCAGAAAATCCCACAAAATCACTCAGATAATGTGGGATTTCCTGCCTTGATATTGTGTGCCTTCAAACATCATAGGTTCTCTTTAGGGCAGGCATGGGCAAACTTGGGGCCTCCAGGTGTTTTAGACTTCAACTCCCACAATTCCTAACAGCCTACCGGCCGTTAGGAATTGTGGGAGTTGAAGTCCAAAACACCTGGAGGCCCCAAGTTTGCCCATGCCTGATCTACACTGTACAAATAATGCAATTTGACACCACTTTAACTGCCACAGCCTCAAGATCAAGGCCTCTCTGTTCTGTTGAGGAAAGCAGGTGATGTTTTAAACTAGGAAGCAAATCAAACAATGGCCCTAAACGCCTCTTTTTCTGCCTAGGAACTTTAGAAGCCCGGAACTCTTGTTCTCAGTTCTTTGTTTCCTTGGCAACGGGGATTCGGAAGGAGCGCTAGCCTGAAAGAGATAACATCAGGGCGCTCCCGGAAGTTGCTCACTTCCTGCTTCCGCTTCTTCTGGAGAGGTAAGGGCCTGTCAACAGAAGAACTGGCCATGCATTTCTGTAGAGTTTGTTTTGTATCCGTGTAACAGGTGAGCATTCAGGGACATTGTAAAGGAAGCGTAGAAGGCAGTTTGTGACTTGATATAAGAGAAAAGAATAAGGAGAGTTATTAAATATGTCATTTCTAAAAGGCTAATTAGGATTTTTAGGTGGGTTTGACTATTGTATTGTGGCAGAGAATGATCTCCATGAGTGATAGAATAGCAAAGTGTATTTATTGGACAATATGATCCTCTAAATCAGGGATTCTCAACCTGTGGGTCTCCAGAAGTTTTGGCCTTCAACTCCCAGAAATCCTAACAGCTGGTAAACTGGCTGGAATTTCTGGGAGTTGTAGGCCAAAACACCTAAGGTAAAGGAAATTAAGTCCAGTTATGTCCGACTCTGGGAGTCGTGTCCAATTCTGGGCACCACAATTCAAGAGAGATATTGACAAGCTGGAATGTGTCCAGAGGAGGGCGACTAAAATGATCAAGGGTCTGGAGAAGAAGCCCTATGAGGAGCAGCTTAAGGAGCTGGGCATGTTAAGCCTGAAGAAGAGAAGGCTGAGAGGAGATATGATAGCCATGCATATGATAGCACAGGGAGGAGGGAGCAAGCTTGTTTTCTGCTTCTAGGACATGGAACAATGGCTTCAAACTACAAGATTCCATCTGAACATTCGGAAGAACTTCCCGACTGTGAGAGCCATTCAGCAGTGGAACTCGCTGCCCTGGAGTGTGGTGGAGGCTCCTTCTTTGGAAGCTTTTAAACAGAGGCTGGATGGCCATCTGTCAGGGGTGCTTTGAATGCAATATTCCTGCTTCTTGGCAGGGGGTTGGACTGGATGGCCCATGAGGTCTCTTCCAACTCTAATTCTATGAGATGCTCATCTCATTTTTTAAGCTGAAGAGCCGGCATTGTCCGTAGACACCTGCAAGATCATGTGGCTGTCATGACTGCGTGGAGCGCTGTTACCTTCCCGCCGTAGTTGTACCTAATGATCTACTCACATTTGCATGTTTACAAACTACTAGGTTGACAGGAGGCCAAAACACCCGGGGACCCACAAGTTGAGCACTACTGCTCTATATACATGAAGGTAAAGAAACCCCTCTGAATTCAGTGGGATTTACAAAGGCACTCCAGCATGCCATTTTCCAAATTACCACCTTTGGGAATGGCATGGAAGCTTACTGTCCATATAATATGTTAAAGAGCTTATATAGAAAATTGGGAAATATGAGATTGCTGGATGAGATTGATAGTGGTTATTTTTTAAAATTTGAGGATCTACCACAGGCATGGTAGGCTGTTAGGAACTGTGGGAGTTGAAGTCCAAAACACCTGGAGGGCTCAAGTTTGCCTTTGCCTGTTCTACCATCATTGGTATGTCTGCATAGTAAATCATATAAATTTGCATTCTTTTTTTAATGTTGTATATGGTATGTTATGGAGCCATGCTGGTGCAGCGGGTTAAACTGCTAAGCTGCAGAACTTGCTGATTGGAAGGTTGGCGGTTCGAATCCACAGACAGGATAAGCTCCCATTGTTAGCTCCAGCTTCAGCCCATATCGCAATTTGAAAACATACAAATGTGAGTAGATCAATAGGTACTGCTTCTACGGGAAGGTAATGGCACTCCATGCAGTCATGCCGACCACATGACCTAGGAGGTGTCTACGGACAACAACGCTGGCTTTTTGGTTTAGAAATGGAGATGAGCATCACCCCCCCAGAGTTGGACATGACTAGACTTAATGTCCATAGGAAACCTTTACTTCTATGGCATGTTGTAAAGGGGCAACTGCTATATACATTAATAAATTTAGGATTAAGCAATAGGTCGAACAAGGTTCTACAGGGTTTTTTTTCTATCTTTGCATTCTGACCTCTCTATACTCTCTGTGTTTGAAGAGATGTAGTGTTTGGAGGTTTTTCCTCTTGTTTTGGAATTTAGAAGTTATGAAGTTGGAGAGAAGCTTAGACCCAATTCTTTCCTATCAAGAAATGAAGTTCTTATTTGTAATTTTTGTAACCTAAATATTGAACTCTGCATCTTTGCCCTCTGAGCTCAAAATTCTTTTGCAGCCACACAACACTTCACCTTTCAGCTTGCAGTGAGCTGCCTGCTCAAGTATCCTGTTTGAATTTTTGGATGCTCAGCTATTTTTTGGTATTTCCCTAACACAATGATACATTTTCAAAGTGGAACTCCAACCAAAGATAGATAGATAGATAAGCTTTGGACAGCACAGGGAAGGGTTAACCCCTGTTGTGCTTGTTTTGCTGTTTGTGCCCTGTTCAGAAGATTTCATCTCACTTTCTGTCCCTGTGAGAATTGGATTTAGAAAAAAAATTGCCTTCCTGTGGAAAAAAGGATTGGTGATAAAGCTGCCATGATAACTTTTTAGGAGTGGATTTCCACTTTCTGTTATCTCATCCCCATTTTTAACTAGGAGTCATTTGTAAGTTGGATGTTTGTAACTTGGGGACCACCTGTACATCCAATAGAATGGGGCCTTGTAGATTAGCCTTCCTGTGTAGCACCTGCCTCTACATATTTTGGACTTCGGCTCCTTTCTGTACCTGCTAGAATGGCCAATAGTCATGAAAGTAGAGCATTTAGCCCCAAAGAGCCAGAGGATACCAAGTGTGAGAGAATGGCTAAATAAATATCCGCTAGATGGCAGTCATAGACCTTGCTATGCCATTAAATAGAAGACGAAGATATTTTTAAGTGCTTCTGACCTTCCATTGTTAGTAGCATGGGCTGTCATTAATGTGATCCTCTGTGCAGGGAAAGAGGATTGCTAGACTCAGCTGCCATTTCCAAAATAAGGAGCTAGCATCTCTTAGAGTGTAGCACACCTGGCAATCTGGTTTCATTTCAATCATCTTATAAAAGCCGAAGTCATGAGTGGTGGTTCACAGGTGTAGGGAGGGGGTGGGGAGTTTGGGGGAATGGTATACCTGTATTATGTGTATTCGATTACTATAATGCAATTTGAGCCCTGCCACATGCACAGTGGAGGACCTTTTTACAACCACACCAGTGGCACTCGAAGTGGCCAGCTTCTGGTCAAAGGAAATTTCAGACAATGTCAAGCTTTTAACTTTGTTTGTGGTTTTTGTATGCATTATAACTGTATTCCCAATTCTGACACAATAAATAAATAAAAATATCTTTAAAGGTTTTTCTTTTTCATATTCTACATGCCATTAATTCACTTAATAAAAACTTAGTTTAAAAATGATAACAACATATGGAATCATCCAGCTTCCCCGGCTCCTGGCCATTCAGGGGGACAGGGGGAGGGCAATTCTATGAGTTGTGGCTCCCAAAAATGAACTTTTACAAGATAACCTGAAGAGATTGGATTGTATCTAAATGTGGCAGTGAAAGAGCCCATTATTGCCTAGGCTCTAGAACGGCTAGATAAAAGAGAAGAGTGACATCCTATTTAACATAGTGTGGCAGATGGAATTTCAGCAAATATGGCTTGCCAAATAATAGTAAAGGGAGCTATGCCTGTTGAAAATCTCTGGTATATGTAAATTTAAAGTCAAAAAGCCTATGGTCAGATTGGGTATGTATGTGACAACTGCCCATGGTAGGTTTGAGAAATGGTGAGGAGATTAAGTGGAAAATAGATGTGGAGGTGTTTCTGTGGAGCTTTCTGTTCCATTCTCTTTTCTCAGGTTTACAGCCGTGATAGTAGATCAGTTCTTTTTGGTTTTGGATTATTGTTTTATGGGCATGCTGGCTGGTGATTCTGTGTGTTTAAGTCCAAATGTAATTTTATCACATTCTGGATTCACCTAACATGCTTCTGACTGTAACATTCTGGCACCTTCCCTGTTTCTTCCACTATGTTAATCAAAACATCTTATTTGAAGGAATGAAATAAAGATTACTGGCCTCTTCTTGGACTGACCACTTGAGCCTCCATGACACGTCACGGGAAGAACTGCACAGCAGGAGCTGTCTATACTTACCATGAAAAGAAGAAAGACACAGGTGAGGAAGCCTTTTTCTGTAGGGCTTTGGTTCAGATTGAAGCATTTGGGCAATATTGTTGGAGTAGGGGGAAGTCTTGTTTAGTGAACTGTAGGCAATAATCCAAAGAGCAGTACTGAATCAACATGCAAAAGAAATCTTGAAATTGAGGCAGACCTTGAAAATACTATTTTTCAGACTAAAAAGATGAGTCTTTTTGCACCTTCAAGATCAACTTATGCCAAATAACATGTTTCGGTCTTTAAGATATCACACATCTTTTGATCCCCCCCCCCCCTCCGGAGCTAACATGGTTCATTTTTATTCCATTCCAGAGGACTATAACTCCTTAATCCTTCAGAACAGCGACTTCCGGTGAAGGCAACATGGCGGCGGCTGCAGGTCACAAGAGGCTCCGGGAGCTTCGTAAGACCTGAGCATCCCCCAGCTGGGAAGGGGGGATTGGAACCCCACAAGTCGACAGACTAAGTCGACTTGGTTGCTAAGGCCAGAAATTGCGGGGGTGGGCAGTACTGACCCCCCTCAAGGAGGTCAGGAATCCCACCTGGCAATAAGGCCGGCGCCCAGGGGGAAGGCACGGCTCGAAAGAGCTCCAACGCCGCCAGCCTTCACTCTATAGGACAAGAAGAAAGACGAAAGAGAAGAAGAAAGAAGAGAGCGATAGGAAGCAGAACTATCTAAATACCACTGTCTGTTTCAACGATGAAATACCTAACAGGAAGGAAKAAATAAAAGAAGGAGAAAGAGAAGAGGCGGCAGCCAYACGGGAGCTGATTCCTTACAGCTGTGCAGCCTTGAAGGGCACTCCAAAAAGTGAGTACTCCACAGWTAGTTTTGCTAACGCCAWTTGCGGAGGGTCAACTCCCAAAAGGAAAACCCGGGGGGACCCYGGAACCACAGCGACCCGAGTGACTCCATTCCCCTCCGCCCTGAAGATAAACCCAATCCAGCCTCYTTACCCTCACAAGTGGGTCKGAGGACTTCGACCGGCACCCGATAGGCATGACACCATCGGACACCTACTCGTGAGGAGCCTGAGGTGCTCACGGGAGGGCTTCGGAGGACGCGGGGGAAACGCTCAGCGGGACCCACACGCAGCCTCCGGGCCAATCTCGCCCCATCCGCGAAACCACGCGTGGCTTGGAGCAACCTGGCGCGCGATCCCGCGCGAGATAGCGCGAGAGCGCCGGTTCGGGCAGTGAAGAGGCGAGGGTCTGAAGAGGGCCTGAAGAGAATCGGGGGGTAGAGCGAAGAGCAAGAAAGGCCTCCGGAAGGTAGAGAAAGGGAGGTGGAAGAAGGAAGAAGAACCCCCAGGAGAGTATGAAGAAGGTGAGCAAGTAAAAGAAATCGTAGGACGCGGAGGGGAACCGAAAAAACTGTAAGAGGGGCGGAGGCCACACAGAGAATAAAGAAAAATTTAATAGAACAAGCATAAAGAAAATTGGCAGAGAAAAGGGTAAAGCCCTAAGGGGTGGAATAAGAGGAGGAGAGGAGAGGAAAGGACCGAAAATAAATAGAGCGAACAACGGGAGCGGAACTAAAAGAAGGAAGAAGGAAGACAGAAGTGGAAATACACAGAGGGATAAGGGAGGAATGCGGGACGAACTCCCCCTTGCTCCGCAGAATTCGAAGATCTAAAAATCCACAAAGTATAAATTCTAACAGCTGATAGGAGCAGGGGAGAGAGGGAAAAAGGACAACATGGCGGAGAAAGGTACCCCTGCGGGGAAACAAAATAAAGCAGCAACCCCCACTCCCACAACAACAACAACCCCAAATACACTGCCCATGTCGGTCGCTATCCCCACTCCTGTTAGAAGACTCTCCACGCAAGCGGAAACACCACTTAAAGAATTGCTGCAGGAGATGTTGAAGATCCAGGACAAAATTGAGAAGAAAATAGAAGATAGTCAGGAGAAAATACAACAAAACATGGAAAAGCTATTTAAGGATGAAATGGGTAAATTGAGACAAGAATGGAAAGAAGATATGGCTCAGATTCAAAACGAGATCACTGGCGTACAAGAAGAAGTAAAGGAACTGAAGAAAGATAATGTCGTCACCAGGAAAAAGCAAGCCATAACAGATACAAAAATAAAGGGATTGGAGGAAGCTAGAGTCAAGATAGAGAAACAGCAAGAACTATGGGCTTCTAGAGAGTCCGACTTCCAATTAAGATTCAGAAACATAGAAGAAAGAGATGGAGAAAACCTGAGGGAAGTAATAACTGAAATCACAGCAGAGGTGCTCAAATCTACACGGGAAGAAGTAAACAAGGAGCTAGACACAATTTTGAGAGTCAATTCAAATTATGCCAAACGGAATAAGGTTCCAAGAGATATAGTGGCTACCTTCTGTAGAAGGATTACCCGGGACGAAGTTATGAAGATGAAACCGAAAGATCAATTAAATTATAGGGGAAGAAAAATAACTATACTTAAGGAATTTTCGACCATGTCAATGAACAAAAGAAAAAAATATTATTTTTTGACAGACGAACTCAAGAAACACAGGATTAAATTTAAGTGGGAAAGAATAGAAGGCATCCAAGTGACCTATAAAGACAACAAAATCTGGCTAACGTCGGAAGACAAAGCCAAGGAATTCCACAAGACTCTCCTAAAAGACCTGGAAGCAGCCTCACAAACCTCAAGAGTGGAAGAAATGAACAAAACTAAACACGAAAGAATGGAGATGAGGAAGCAGAATAAAGATTGGACGAAGAAGGAGAAAAAAAGACCAAGACCAGAGTCATTGGAGGACGAGTCAGAGGTGAAGGACATGGGACCTTCTAAGTATCCAACAAACCTAACCTGTGATGAGTAAACTGAAGATATATTCCAACAACGTCAATGGTCTGAACATTCCAAATAAGAGAAGACAAATCTTCAATCAACTAAAGAAAGGAAACTACGACCTGATAGCGCTACAGGAGACGCATGTCACTTCTAAACACAGCACTTATCTCACGCAAGCACAACTTGGGAAGGAATTTCATTCACTAACCTCACAAAAAAAAAGAGGAGTAGTAATATATGCAAAGAACTCTATCAACGCCTCCCTGGCGTTTAAAGACGAAGATGGCAGGATGATTGGCATTAAGATCAATTTAGACGGACAAGAGATAATATTTTGCAATATCTATGCCCCAGTAGGCCCAAAAACAAACTTTGTTAAAGAACTCAAAAAGAAGCTTGAGGAACAGTCCCACACAGATATAATTATAGTGGGTGATTTCAATGGGGTGTTAGATTGTAATTTGGATAGATCTAAAAAGAACAGGAGAGACGTAAAGGGAGGTAAATTGCCCTCCAGTTTCTTACAACTGAAGAAGGAACTATATCTCCAGGACGCTTGGAGAATTAGAAACCCCTTAGAACAGGACTTTACCTTCTTCTCAGACAGGCATGCCTCCTGGTCAAGGATTGATATGCTTTGGGCATCGAACTCAATAATATCCAAAATAAATAAGATCCAAATCTTACCCAGAACATTGACGGACCACTGCCCCATCCTCACAGTCCTTCAGGGGTCTGTCCCCCAAAGGAAGTGGAAGTTAAACGATTACTTGTTAAGCACGGAGGAGGACATCGAGCGCAATAAACAGCTTATTCGGGAATACTTCAAATTTAACAAAAATGAGGAAACAAGGGCGGAGATAGTCTGGGACGCCAGTAAGGCGGTTATGAGGGGGCACCTTATACAACAAGGGTCTATTAGAAACAGGAAAAGACATGAAAAGTATTGCTCCCTCATAAAGAATATAAAAACTAAAGAAAATGATCTTAAGAAAAAACCGAGAAATAAGAAAATCAAATTGGAGCTCGAACTATTGAAGAAAGAACTAAATGCCCTCCAACTAGAGAAAATAGCCAAGAATCTAAAGCGCATGAAAGTAAACTACTTCGTCAATGCTAATAAGCCAGGGAAACTCCTCGCGAGGAAACTCTTAAAGAAAAGGCAAAAACAGTACATCTTTAAGATAATCAGAAACGGTAAAAGTTACCATGCAGAAGAGGAAATTAAAGCCCAATTCAAGGAATTCTTTGAAGAGTTATATCAGAGGGATAAGATCCAGATGGAGGATATATCCAAATACCTGGCGAAACACGCACTGGAAAAAATAAAGGACGAGGAAAGAGAACCCCTCAACAAACTAATTGAGGACCAGGAAATCAGGATGGCGATAAACAATCTCCCGAACAACAAGGCCCCAGGCCCTGACGGGTTCTCAGCCAGGTATTACAAGGCTCTACAGGAAGAATTGACCCCGCATTTAAAAGAAATCTTCAATAACATCCTTACAGAAGCCAAAATTCCCGAAACTTGGAAAGAAGCAACCATCTCTTTAATACACAAAGAGGCAACAGAGGCAGAAAATGTAAGAAATTACAGACCGATCTCGTTATTGAACACGGACTACAAGATCTTTGCCAGTATCATAGCAAACAGATTGAAGAAACTCCTGAATAACATCATTAAGGAGGATCAAACGGGATTTTTGCCGTCGAGGCGTATGAATGAAAATCTAAGAACAATCCTGAACATAATAGAATATTATGCAATAAACACACAAAAGGAGTTGGGCCTGCTGTTCCTTGACGCGGAAAAGGCATTCGACTGCGTCAGCTGGGATTTCATGCTCCAGTCAATCAAAGAAAGAGACATGGGCTTCCAATTTAACAACGCGATAAATGCGATCTACTCTAATCAAAGGGCTAAAATCCGGATCAATCATCAAGAGACTGACTTTATCAACATCGAAAAAGGCACTAGGCAGGGATGCCCTTTATCGCCCCTTCTGTTTATTTTGACGCTAGAGACTTTATTGGAAGAAATCAGAAAGAATAAAAATCTGAGGGGCACTAGAGTACGGAAAGAGGAGTACAAAGTGAAAGCTTATGCAGATGACATTGTCTGCATTATTGAAGACCCCCTAACAACAATCCCAAACTGGATGGAAACGATCAACAACTATGGGAAAATCTCCGGATTACGAATCAACAAAACAAAAACTAAAATTCTGACAAAAAATATAGATGCATTCAAAAAGAGGAAACTACAAGAGATAGTGCAATGTGAAATCACAAATAAGATAAAATACCTTGGGATACATCTAACATCAAATAATGCCCAACTGATCAAAAATAATTATGAAACTACGTGGAAAGATATTTCCAAAAAGATGGACAATTGGAAACACTTAAATTTGAGCATCTCCGGCAGGGTAGCGGTTGTTAAGATGAATATCCTCCCCAGAATGAATTTTTTGTTCCAAATGATCCCCATCCTTAGGACAAGCCACTGTTTTACACAGTGGAAGAAAGACATCACAAGATTTGTATGGAATGGTAAAAGAGCAAGAATTAAATACAAGTCAATGACGGATGCAAAGGAAAGAGGAGGATGGAGCCTTCCAAACCTACAATTATATTACCAAGCCAGCGCCCTAACCTGGGTAAAAGAGTGGGCCACATTAACGAAGAGAAGATTATTAAACCTTGAAGGTTTTAACATCAGAAGAGGGTGGCACGCCTATTTATGGCATGGCAAATCGCAAATCGAGAAGAGCTTCTCCAACCACATCCTGAGAGCGGCGCTACTGAGGGTGTGGGAAAAACACAAACCTTTTTTATATCAAAAAACACCTATGTGGTTATCCCCCATCGAGGCTTATCACAAAAGGGAACTCCCTACCGACATGTGGCATACCTATAAAACACTAATCACAAAGACGGGCAATCAATGGGAATTAAGATCATTCGAATCGCTAAGAAAAACAGATGAGAACCTATCCTGGTTTCACTACTATCAAATTATGGAGGCATTCAAAGAAGACAGAAAAAAAGAGTTCGCCTCACCCGATAACATCTGGGATGTAATAATGAAAAAAGAAAAGAAACTGATCAAGGTACTCTACAATAAGTTGCTAGAGTGGGACACGGAGAAGGAACTAGTCAAGGAGAATATGATAGCTTGGGCCACGGACCTAGGGCACACCATCCTTCTCCAGGAATGGGAACAAGTCTGGAAGGAAAAGATCCGGTTTGCCAAATCAGCCACAATAACAGAGAACTGGAGGAAGATGTTCTACCGATGGCATCTGACGCCCCAAAAAATGGCAAAATTTTATAAGGGGGCAAGTAATAAATGCTGGAAATGTGGCAAGCAATTAGGATCTTTCATCCACACCTGGTGGAAATGCAAAGAAGTTAGAAGATTTTGGGTGGAAGTTCATAGACAGACCCAGCAAATAATCCAAATAAAATTTGAATTAAAACCCGACTATTACCTTCTTCACCTCCTGGACTTTGATATTGAACCCAACAAAGAAAAGATTTTATTTCATATTACAACGGCGGCGCGAATCACCCTCGCATGCAAGTGGAAAAGTGCAACTCTCCCAACCACAGGAGAATGGCTTTTGAAAATTAGCGACCTAATCGAATTGGATACGCTAGCAAACTTGATATATGATACAAGTCCAAAAAGAAAAATAGACTGGAAACCAGTAAGGGACTATTTAAAGGGGAAAAAAAAGTAATATATCCCATTAATCCATCGTTGATGAATGCAGTGGTTCTTAAAGAGGAGAGAAAAAATTGGTAATAGGAAGATTAATAGGATTCTGCAGACTATTGAGGAAGTCATAACATAGTGTTATATGTTTTTTAAAGTATCCCCTCATCTCCATGCCCCCTCACCCCCTTCCCTCCCCTTTCTGTGTGGTAGATGTTGTTGGTATGTATGGTAGTGGAATGTGATAAATGTGTTACAGTTTTTTGTTGTTATATATCTGAAAATGCGAATAAAGACTATTTTATAAAAAAAAAAAAAAATCCTTCAGAACAGCCAGTTACTATGCTGGCTAGACAATTCTGGGAGTTGCAGTCCAAAAAAACCCATTTGAAACCTGAAGAACATAACTGTAAAATAGGCAGTGAATACAAGCAGGAATGATGAATAGCTTCTGGACAGTGTTGAAGCTATTGAGTTGGCAAGGACGCTTTTAATGAAATCTATAAGCCCTGTACTGGCTTCCTTCAATTTCTGTCTTCCTATTGTAAAGTATAGTGTAATAGAGTATGGTGAATCTATTAGTTGTTAAGGAGGGCATCAGTAATGGTCAAACATCAGGCTACCACTGTCTTCCCTGTAATTTTTAAGTGATGTTATTACTTGCATAGCATGGGTATGAAGGTCAACATTGGGGATCTGTAAGTATGGTTGTTTACAATGAGTGATCACCTGTGATGATGGTGATAATTGTTTGTAATCATGTTACTATCTAGAGATTCCATTCAGTTGCATTGGACACATCCTTTGGAATGACTAACATTACTCAGATTTAAAAGATCTAAATGACTCCTCTGTCATTTAAGCTCTCATTAGCAGCAAGTTGCATAATTTGAGTATGTGCCTCAACAGACGAGTCTGTTTTGGGCAAGGATTCTACCAGTTTCTTTTTCTTTATAGATTTATATAACGTCAAGGGCATCCAATTAAAAAATATGATTTGTGTCAAAGTGGGCTTGCTGTAATCATTCCCCTTTCTCTTTCCCCAGCTGCCTCTGGATATGGTACCCAGAATGTCCGTCTGAGCAAAGATGCTGTCAAGGACTTTGACTGCTGCTGTCTCTCTTTGCAGCCTTGCAAGGACCCTGTTGTGACGTAAATATCTGATGGGGCTCACTGGAGGTTGTTCAGTTAATCCTAGCAAGATTTGTTATACTTGTACAGTATATGCCCTTGTACTTGTAATAAAGCTTGTACTTGTAATGAAGCGCTGGATTCCTAAACTCATATCATGATCGGGAGCTCCCATTTTATTAGAGGCCTGTGATGCTTAACAGTGATTGTATTTATTCATTCTTTTCTTTTTCTTATTTTCCCCAGCCCTGATGGGTATCTGTATGAGAAAGAAGCCATCCTAGAGTACATACTGCATCAGAAAAAAGAGATTGCCCGGCAAATGAAGGTACTAGAGAAGTTGTTCAGTGTTCTAAGCTGAGGGCTAAACAGGATTATTATGTACATGCTTATCTACTGGCTTTCTGTATGGAAAGGAAATTTTTTGAGAAAATTGTAGGGCTTGCAACTTCAGAATTGCAAGGTGATAAAATGAAACATCTGTAGCAAATGATACAGAAGCAAAACCATGACATGTGGTCTTGTTACCTTCCAAACATTGATTATGTTTGTTTCTGTAAGAGTCCATGTGAAGCAGCATAATTCATGGTGTATAGGCTTCATCTTCATTAGCATACTCCCAAGGGTGGTTGTTCCCTTGGAGCTACGATGGACACTTGGTTCACTGTCACTTCTGAGAGCCAAAATCTACTAATAACATCTGGCCAATTAAGTCTACAAGATTCAGATAAATCTATTTGAATGTACTAAAGAAAGTCTAGAACGCTTTTCATCCCCACTGCTCAGGTTGTACAAGTGTGCTATCAGAACGTGATACCCTGTCACTTCTGGTGAAAACACAAAAGGTTTTTGTTAGCTTGGTCTGTGGAATGAGAAAGCAAACTGCACTATTTGGGGAGTTTGGAATATGTTTTCAACAGTTTGGGGATAGATCAGTTTGATGTTGTGGAGGGACTTTGAGAGGGTGCCTCGTGCTTTAGAGGCTGTAAATGTGCATTTTGGGGTCCATCTGCTTGCTGTACTTTCCCATTCCTGCTGTAAAGGATATTGACCTTTAGTGGCTAAGGTAGTCTGTCAAGTCAGTAACCAGGTTGGACATATTTTCTTGATACAGCTATGCTGATGTCAGACAGTGTGCTTCAGTCAGATGCCCTTGAAACCTGCTTCCTCTATTAGTGTTGGTTGTCCCCTAGGAACCATAATGCAGCTTCTTCATCAATCTCCTGTCAAGCTCCTCCTTTTAACCCAAATTTTCACAAGACTTTTATGCAATGGACTACTGTGCTTAATCTAATCTATGAGTATTTCTGTTATTTTTGTTATCTTCCTTTAAGAAGGCCTAGTCTCTCTGTCCTGTTTTGTATTCTTCCTCAATTTCTCTCTCTTCTAAGATTGTAACAGGGAGTAAGGCATTTCTGTCATTTATTTTTATTCTTTTTTCTCTTGTAGCACTGATATAATGACATTTCTCAGTGATTTGCTATATATTATATCAATATCAGGAGGAGGAATGGAGATTTTCCCCATTGCTACTCCTGGTTTTGCAGAAAAGGTGGCATTATACCTGTTGATGTCAGTGTTTTGTACTGGCAGGCCTATGAGAAGCAGAAGAATGAGAAGAAGTTGGAGATGGCCGAGCTGAGCAAGGCAGCCAAAGAGTCCAAGGTGAAGAACTTCCTGGACAAAGAGCTGAGCATTGTCAGCAAGCCCCTCAACCCTTTTGATCATAAGGCAGGTAAATGCTGGCAAAGCAGAAGACTGTGGGTCAGTATTGATGAAGTTTTAAAAGGTTTTCTCCTCTCTGTGTGCATGTTTTATCATTTTGTTTATTGCCTGTATTCAGAAGCAGGGACCTGAAAATTAGACAAATACCATCCTTTTTAATAGGAAAAGCCCCACATTTTAACTTTTGGCATTTTACAGGTGCCTTCAGTGTCGCTTTTGCTACATGAATGCTTTTATATTACATGCTATTTCATGTCGCCACTGGATGTTTGGAAAGTGGTAGGTTTTCTTACACTGCTTCCTTGTTCTGTGAATTACAGGAGATTCTGAGCCTGGACCCAGCAGTGAAGACAAAGACAAAAAACTCCCCAGCTTCTGGATCCCTTCACTGACCCCTGAGGCCAAGACCAAAGTCATCCCCAAACCAGTGAGTCCTTTTGCCATTCCCTTTCCAGGCTTACTTATTGCCCAGTTTTTAATACAAGGAAGGACAAGTTGTGGCCCTCCAGATGATGGTTTAGAATTTCATTAGCTGCATCTGATGTTGAAGCGTGGCAAGAGTTCCACTTCAACAATATATGAAGGGCTATATGTTCCTATTCATGTTCAGGTGTGCCATATCTGATTTGGCTGGCAGTTCTGGCTGTGGGATGATAGGAATTGTAGTTCAGCACATCTGGAGAGTAGCGGGTTGCAGCAAAAGGCTACACTAGTCTTGATGCAGAGGTGAAAGAGGTTTGATCCAGATAGCCCTTTGTTTTCTCAAAAGTATCCAGGAAGCTCATCACAGTTCCAGGGATGTGGACCGGAAAAAATTCCCATGGTCTCATATTTTCCTGTGGAAGGTTTCCCATTTTTTAGAATACAGTCTCCTCTAATTAATTAGTAATAGAAAGGCTACAGAAATAGCTTTTTCTCCTTTGTGATCTCTGTGAAATGCGCACATATGGTAGTTTCTGCACTTGTGCAGCAACTACCATATGTGCAAATTTTACAGATGACCAACCAAAGAAACTGCTTACAGGTAAGCAACCATAATTTCTCATGGTTTTTTTTCTATGTGAAGCATATGTGGGAATTTCATAAATATATATCATGTTGAGTGTAAAATCATTTTTTTAAAAAAAACGTAAATATCATAAAGACATGTATGTTTGATCTTTCAAGTCTTGAGATATTTACAACTAGTTAATAAAAAATTAAAACTTTGAATTTCCCAGAATATTTTCAATGGTATGTCTGTACATTTCACTGAAACTTACGTTTTTGATTGACACAAATAGGATTCCATTTCTAAACCATATTAACAATTCAATCCTAGATATGTCTACTCAGAAGTTTGCTCCACTGAGTTCCTAGGAATTTATTGTAGGTTTGTGGTTATAACTTTGCAGAGTGCATGTGAAGTGTTGATTTCTTTTGGTAACTGAATAGTTCAATGTAAATACTTTTGGCAAGTGGAAAAACTACCTCTCTTTTAGTTGAAGTGCATAAAAACAATATTGCATTGGTTTGTTTAAAAGTAATTTTCTCATATAAAATGTGAAATACTTGAGCATCAGAAATATCTATTAGAAAGCACCTATTTTTTCAGATTACACTCCATTCTCCACTGTTTGAATAAATCACATATCTCAACTGCTTGATTCTCTTAACATCAGGCATTGAATGTTTGCCTTTTTGTGATTGGAATTTGCTCTGAGTCCCTTTCAGGAGATAGGATGGAATACAAATATAGTATTATTATTGTTGTTATTGTTATTATTATATCTCCCCATGCTGTTTATAGAATGTGACATAAATTCTTTCAGACTTTGGCATTTCAGCTACCAGGTTTGTTCCTTCATTTCACAGAGCTTATTATCTACATTTGAATGCTCATTGTCAATTGGAGAGTAGCACTCTGAATATTTGATACACACACAGACCCTGCTCTGAGAATTATATTTAGGTATTTTAATCCTCCAGATTTTACTCTTTTTTTCTCCCCCAAGATACTACTAATCTGTCCTCCTTAATTTGCCTGGTGTTGGCTTTCTAGGACAAGTGTGTGTACTGCCCCATGAGCAGGAAACCCCTGAAGCTGAAGGACCTGATCCCAGTGCACTTCACTCCTGTGGATGCCAGTGTGGATCGCGTGGGGCTGATCAACCGCCAAGACCGCTATGTTTGTGCTGTCACACGGGACATGCTTGGAAACTCTGTTCCCTGTGCTGTACTCCGTCCATCGTGAGTGATGGGGCGTTTCTAGATTCAGAGATTTTAGTGTGTTAAATAGGGGGTGGTGGCCTCAAGGCCATACACTGATAAGTGTAGTAATTCATGTCTTGTGTTTAGAATACAAAGCATGTCCTTTTTAACAGGGGCTCTGTGGTGACTCTAGAGTGTGTGGAGAAGCTCATCAAGAAGGACATGGTTGATCCGATGAATGGAGAGAAGCTGACTGACAAGGATATCATTGTCCTACAGCGGGTGTGTAACCCAGAGAACCTGTGTCCTTCCAAATGTTTGACTCCAATTCCGTGCCCTCATGCCCTACTTTTTAAATAGAAAAAGGCCTCTCCAAGGCCTAAAATGCCTGTGGGAGGACAGAAATGTGGAATTATTGCCCTCTGGACTTTGAAAGGACATTTTGAGCATTAAACATGAGAAGTATGTGGTTTAGGTGGTGTATGAGTTTCCATGTAGAACCAGTATGGCTTCTGAAGTCATGGTAGTTACTTAGTTTTCTTTTAGCCTCAGAAATCCTTCAGCCAATATGGCTAATGCTTGTTTGGAGGGTGGTGTTAAAGTCAAAAAAGCAACCTTTCCAGGCTCTGAGAATAGTTGTAAATGTATTCAAGATCTAGGACTGGTCATTTTTTCAGTAAAACTTTGAACAAAACATGTTTTCTAGGAGCATCATAAAATAAAGCTAGCCATTGCCACCCAGTGTTGTCTCATTGGTATTCTCTCTTCTTTTAGGGTGGCACAGGATTTTCAGGTTCAGGTGTGGAACTGGAGGCCAAGAAGTCCCGTCCAGTTATGCAAGCTTGACAAGCTGACAACTGTCCTGGCAGAAGAAAGGAGCCGTCCCTTTGTTTCTCTGTGCTGGTTACGATCTGCTTCCCTCAATGGTATTTAGTGCATATAAACAGAAAGAGATAGCAATAGTCTTCTGTAATGCTTGTAAATAAAAACTGTTTTTTGTGTATGTGTGGATAAGACAATTCATTTTTGAAGTGGTTGAGTCCAATAGGCTATCTTCCCTTTAATCTTATACAATAGAGTCTCGCTTATCCAACATGAATGGGCTGGCAGAATGTTGGATAAATGAAAATGTTGGATAATAAGGAGAGATGAAGTAAAATCCTATTAAACGTCAAATTACAAATTAAGCACCAAAACATGTTTTACAACAAATCGACAAAAAAAAAACATTTTAATACACAGTAACATTATGTAGTAATTACTGCATTTATGAATTTAGCACCAATTATGGCAATGTATTGAAACAGCTGTGGATGTAGGCGGGAGGCAGACTGCGTTGGATAATACAGACCACTGGATGAGCGAAGATTGGATAAGCGAGACTCTGCTGTATAACTAATTTTCAAGGTGTTATCGAAGACTTTCATTGCCAGAATCTTCATTGCGTGAAGTTTGGCCTATATTTATGGCAGGCATCCTGAGGTTGTGAGATATATCTAATATATCTCTCAACTTCCGAGGATGCCTGGCATAGATGTGGGCCAAACGTCAGGAGAGAATGCTTCTGGAACATGGCCACACAGCCCAGAAAACCCATAGCAACCTACTAATTTTCAAGGATTTGGTTTCTAAAGAAATCTAGAGGGAAGTTTTTTCAGTTCCAGTCCCAGCTCAGTGAGCATAACATTGGGTCCTGCATTTTGAAAGATTTTGGAGATAAGTTCGAATTAAAGAACATGTCTGCAAGGACATCCATTCCTAAGGTTCCTCGTATGTGCTTCTTTCCTATTGTTCAGTCCTTTGCCCATAGGCATAGGGGTTTTAGATTCCCCAAGAATTTGGGGGAAAGAGCTACATAAAACATGTACATCTCTCACTCACTCCATTTGGGGTATAGAACATCCCTTTGTATATTATGGAAGGATGGGATCTGAAGTATGGGTCCTTGTACCTGTTTTGAAGCGAACCATGGGAAGCTTAGTAAACTAACTGTCCACTCACTCTCCCTAGACAAGGTGCCCACTTTATGTACAGGAGGGGGATCACAGTAGTCACCTGTTTTTCTTACAAACTGCAAGCATTACTTTCCCCCTTTTACAAAATAAGATCAGTTTCAGGAATCCTGTTTCTCAGTGTTTTGAGATTTGAGCTCTTCAAAGTTTTTTTTCATGTAAGGAGCGACTTGAGAAACTGCAAGTTGCTTCTGGTCTGAGAGAATTGGCTGTCTGCAAGGATGTTGCATAGGGGACGCCTGAATGTTTTACCATCCTGTGGGAGGCTTCTTTCATGTCTCCACATGAGAAGCTGGAGCTGACAGATGGGAGCTTACCCCACTCTCTGGATTCAAACCGCTGACCTTTCCGTCAGTAGTCCTACTGGCTCCTTCCTCCAAAGTCATTTTGGTTCAAATGTACAGAAAGGGCAGTTCATAATATTTTGTTGAGGCACATCTGCAACAGGGAAAAATACTTTTTGCTGGAGTGACTGTTCTAAAAAAAATAAAATCTTGCTCCCTCTTTTTATTTTCCACTAATTCCGCTTCATTCCGATTTATACTACAGAATATGGAGGGGTGGAAAATAGTTTTATTAATAATCCAGAGTGTTACAATCACAAGGTCACAGCTCATGGTGGGGCAACACTTTGTTGATTGTTGATTCATATTCTTTGGTGGCGTCGAAACTCTGCTGCATAAGTTTAATGAATTCCTCTCGTGAAAGCCTGCCATCCTGGAGAAGAAGGGGTAGAGAGAGAAACTACACCTACAATATTTGTCCAAGGATTGGGGCTACTTACATATTACATATAAGCAGCCTTTAGTATTTCTATGTAAGTAGGGTAAAAACACCGCAAGAAGGTGATTTCAAACCTATTGCCTTGTTTGTTCCACTTCAGCTGCTTGCCCCCTATGAAGTCCCACATTACTGTTCGAAAGGTAAATATGGATCTTGTTACCAAGGAAGGAGAGCAACTTGAATGGCAACGGAGTTGAAAACCCACTTAAAACCCTGTTGCTGACTCCTGCAGAATTATAGGGTTTGTAGTTTAAGGATGAGCCTTTAACAGCCTCACTAAACTACAAATCCCAGAATTCTGCAGGAGGCAGAAACCRGATTTTAAGTGGATTTTTTTCTCTAGTGTGATGAAGTAGTCCAGAAGCAGTTTAAAACTATGTGAGAGAAAATAAATGGATGCCTTGGAATCCACAGATATGACAGGAGGAACACACAAACACAGACCAGCCCTTGTAAAATAGATTGAACACTGTTTTGGACGTGGGTGAGAGATGTTTAATCTGCCCCTTCTTAAATTTCTGGCAGTGAGGACATCTTTGTAAGTATGGCAAAGCTTCACAGTGTTTGAGGGAGATAAGGAGTCAGGAGAGGAAGAACAGATCATATAAAAACCGCCCGGGTTTATGCCAGCTATYRYAACCTGTCAGAAAACTTAAGCAGGCCCTCACACCAATAAATAAGAAAACCATTCCCTCCTGGAGTGTRATTTCCCCCACCGGCATCTGAGGGAGGGTGCTCCAACGCGCATCCCCCACTTGCTCTGATCACAGCTCATCATGTTCCTTTGTCAAATCTTCACCATAGTTGGTGGCCTGGCTCCCCACAAACATGTTCCAATTGTCCAATATCTCTTGCTTGGTTATTTTTTCATCCTGCGATGGGAAGGGAAAAGTTGGGGGGGGGGGAGGAGGAGGGAGGGAGAGAAGCACACAATTAACCCCAATTACACCCCAAATCATTTATGCCAATTGTTGGTTTTTTTTTTACTGTGTTAGTCAATTATGTATAAAATAGCATCATTGAAGTAATATGAGATGGAGGGGAGGGTGAAAGGTTCAAAGGGGAAAGAAAACAAGCAGTGCTCCCATTCTATCGTTATTAGAGCTTTACAGCATCCTGCCCAACTAACCACGTCCATACAAAAATGAAGAATCGTAGAACTGTTTAAAGCACATATCTATACTCGATCTTAGCCAACATCCTGTGCAAGAGGGAGAAACAAGAAATGAAAGGACACACTGTTCTTTCTCGGTCATTTGGCCATTATGTGTATACGTTTTTTCAATTTCGTAAAATTCCTCTACTTTCCAAAAGGACAAAAATAATTTACAGCAACTCCAGAACTAGTTCAGTTCTCTACACTTCACAGAATCATAGAATCAAAGAGTTGGAAGAGACCTCATGGGCCATCCAGTCCAACCCCCTGCCAAGAAGCAGGAATATTGCATTCAAATCAACCCATCCAGCCTCTATTTAAAAGCTTCCAAAGAAGGAGCCTCCACTACACTCCGGGGCAGAGAGTTCCACTGCTGAACGGCTCTCACAGTCAGGAAGTTCTTCCTCATGTTCAGATGGAATCTCCTTTCTTGTAGTTTGAATTGCAATGCATCATTCCATGGATGCATTGAAAGAATTTATATGCTTCAGCTTCTGGCACATCTCTTGTCTCTTCTCATAGCGCTGAATGCAGGCCTTTTGACCAGTGTAGGTCAAAAGCATGTGAGGTTTGATCTTCATCTTTGAAAGTACACCTTCATCTTTTGAAAAGGGAGACCCCAAAATGTAATGGAATTCTCTTGAAGGAAACAAGGGTTGTGTTTATATTCTAGTATAACTCTTGGCCCTCCAGGTATTTGGACTTATAGGGCCTCATCAACTCTGCTGGACAGGCCTCATTGTCTGAATGCCAGATCACCATCTCCCAAAGCAGTTGCTATACTCTCAACTCAAGAATGGAAAACGGAATATTGCTGGACAAGAAAAGAGATTTAAAGATGGACTTAAAGCTAACATTAAAAATGGTGCCATAGACACTGAGAACTGGGAAGTCCTGGCCCTTAAGCGCTCTAGCTGTAGGTCAGCTGTGACCAGCAGTGCTGTTGTATTTGAAGAGGCACAAATGGAGGGCAAAAGGGAGAAACGTGCCAAGAGGAAGGCGTCTCAAGTCAACCCTGACCGGGACTGTCTTCCACCTGGAAACCGATTCTCTCACTGTCGAAGAACATGTGGATCAAGAATAGGGCTCCACAGTTGCCTACATATACACCATCAAGACACTACATTTGGAAGGCCATACTCGGACAATGAGGGATCGCCTAAATAAGTAAGGTAAGTACACTGCCATATAAAATCCAGATTATCTCCTTTGAACTGGATTACATGGCAGTGTCATATAATCCAGTTCAAAGCAGATAATCTGGATTATCCGCTTTGATAATCTGGTTTACGTGGCAGTGAAGATCCAGCCATAGTCTCACAGTCCATGGCATGTGGATAGGTCTTGCTAATGGATGGACTGTCCTTCTAAACCATCTACCAACAGGAGTTCCCTGGGTGTATTGTGTATTAAACATCAAAAATATACTAATATGACATTAAAGGCAGCAGAACATAAAACTAGCAGCTTTACAATGAGAATTGTAGATAAAAGCATATGAAAGGCCAAAGATTCACCAATTCTGATAATACTATTTAATGGATGCTAAGTAGGCAAGTTTGAAGCTTCCCTCCTGCTTTTCTGAAATGGGCAGTTGTGTGGTTAAGAAACTGACAGTGTGCCAAATCAAACTACTAACAAGTTACAACCTTGGGAAAAACATCCTCTGAAAGTAGGGCCATTCTATACTGATGTTCTACTATAATTGTTTAAAAAATTGGAGAACAGTTTGTTCCACACCCCAAGAGAAATACTGTACTAACTCAACAGGCAAGGAATCTCTTGAAAATGCTGTTTTTGACCTTCCTTTGGTTGAAAGGGGATTTTTTCAGCATTATAAATGGCTTTCCGACGCAAGTTAAGTTCTAACATTGATTTGTTTGGAACTTGGAACTTTTCTCTTTAGGACACAATTTGGGTCTCGCCTGACATTGGGGAGCTGAAAAGGATGTCAAGCTAGGAGTATCATTGCTCTAGATATTTTGTCCCAGAATACCTGTCAGTGTTTACTGCTGTGTGCCAATTAAGAGGGATGAGATATGCAAATGGCCAGGAGTTCAACTAGTTACTAAGAGTTTTGCCACAATACATTGATAAATCTCACTGGATGACGTAAGATGCCAAGGACTACAGTTGGGGACAACAGAGCCATTAGTCTAGTGTTTCTCAATCTGGGGGTTGGAATCCCTGGGGGGGGGGGTTGCAAGGGGGTGTCAAAGGGGTTGCCAAAGACCATCAGAAAAAAACAGTATTTTCTGTTGGTCAGGGGGGTTCTGTATGGGAAGTTTGGCCCAATTCTATAGTTGCTGGGGTTCAGAATGCTCTTTGATTGTAGTTGAACTATAAATCCCAGCAACTACAACTCTCAAATATCAAGGTGTATTTTCTCCAAACTCCACCAGTGTTCACATTTGGGGCTATTGGGTATCTGTTCCAAGTTTGGTCTAGATCCATCATTGTTTGAGTCCACAGTGCTCTCTGTATGTAGGGGAACTACAACTCTTAAATTCAAGGTCAATGCCCACCAAACCCTTCCAGTATTTTCTGTTGGTCATGGGAGTTCTATGTGCCAAGTTTGTTTCAATTCCATCATTGGTGGTGTTTGGTATGCTCTTTGATTGTAGTTGAACTATAAATCCCAGCAAGTACAACTCCCAAATGTCAAGGTCTATTTCACCCAAACTCCACCAGTGTTTAGATTTGGACATATTGAGTATTCAGGCCAAGTTTGGTCCAGATCCATCATTGTTTGAGTCTTCTGGATCTAGGTGAACTACAACTCTAAAGCTCAAAGTCAATGCCCACCAAACCCTTCCAGTATTTTCTGTTGGTCATGGGAGTTCTGTGTGCCAAGTTTGGTTCAATTCCATCACAGGCGGGTTCAGAATGCTCTTTGATTGTAGGTTAACTATAAATCCCAGAACTACAGCTTCCAAATGACAAAATCCATCCCCTACAAACCCTACTAGCATTCAAATTTGGGCATATCGGGTATTTGTGCCAAATTTTGTCCAGTGAATAAAAATACATCCTGTATATCAGATATTTACATTAGGATTCATAACAGTAGCAAAATGACAGTTATGAAGTAGCAACGAAAATAATTTTATGGTTGGGGGTCACCACAATGAGGGGGTCGTGGCATTAGGAAAGTTGAGAACCACTGCATTAGTCTATCAAAGACCACCAATTAAAGGGGGCAGGATCAATCCCTTTTTCTTTCAAACACTCCCACTTCCTAGAGCTTATGTGGTCTATCCAATGCAATTTTCCAAATCAGCAGCCTAAATAACCAAACCGAATCTAAAGTCATCCAAAAACAGATTCGTAACCCTTTTTTGCAGCCCTACTATTTTTTGGGGGGGGGGGCACCCCCATTTTCCTCTCTGACTTCTGCCCCATGTTCTTTCCCTTTTGCACCCCAGTTAAGTTGGGTGAGAGAGGGACTGCGCAGTGTCCTTGTCAAAGAATGGAACTACTCACTCGCACAGGGCTTGTGTAACAGGCCTGTGGTCCTCAACCCTGTGAAAGGACCTCGTGTATTAGAACAGACTTCTAAGGGACAGAGGAGGACCTTCAGTTGCTTAGCAACTATAACCCAGTTTCTGTCTTTGCAGACCTGGACAAATGGCCACGGTCAAGGCAGGATGGCTACGACAAGCAAGGGCAGGAGGATTAGCTGCTTTGGAAATGCATTAAGCGGCGAACTATTAATGGGGAAGAGAGAAGCAGTGTCTTCCCCCATTTGTGCACTGATGCTGTTTTTAGAGTAAGGAATCCAGCTCTGAAAGAAAAGAATCTAGAAAGGAGGAGTGGTGAAAATGTCAGAAATATGAAATACTAGCCGTTCCCTGCCACGCGTTGCTGTGGCTCAGTCTGTGTATATGTGTTTTGTGTGTGTATATATGTGTGTGTATATATATATGTGGGTGTATATATATATGTGTATATATTTGTGTATGTGTATTTATATGTGTAGATGCATATTGTGTATATGTGTGTGCTTGTCTATATGAATATTTGTATATATATGTGTGCATGTGTATATGTATGTGTGTATATATATGTGTATATTTGTGCATATATATATATGTGTGAATGAATGTATGCGTGTGTATGCGCATATATATATCTATATCTATATAATACGTGGGTGTATATATTTGTGTACATGTGTTTATATGTGTAGATACTTATTGTGTATATGTGCGTGCTTGTCTATATGAATATTTGTGTATACATGTGTGCATGTGTATATGTATATGTGTATATTTGTGTGTGTTAGTGCATATATATATGTGTGTATGAATGTGTGCATGTGTATATGTATGAGTGTATTTGTATATGGTGCATTTATATATATATATGTGGGTGTATATATATGTGTATGTGTGTTTATATGTGTACATGCATATTGTGTATATGTGTATGCTTGCCTATATGAATATTTGTGTGTATGTGTGCAAGTGTATATGTATATGTGTGTATATATGTATATTTGTGTGTGCATGTGTACATGTATATGTACGTTTGTGTATTTGTGTGTGTTTGTGCATATACATATATACGTGTGTGTGTGCATGTGTATATGAGTGTATTTGTATATGTATATATGGTGTATTTTTGGGTTTTTAAGTCTGTCCCGCTGGGGTTGTGTTTGTGTGTGTGTGTTTTTACGGGTGATGGATACTCATTGGACTGTTAGGTGTACTGTGTCCAAATTTCGTGTCAACTTGTCCAGTGCTTTTTGTGTTATGTCAATCCCACAAACAAACATTGCATTTTTATTTATATAGATTAATAACTTGGTATTTTTGATTACAAAAGTGTGAGTCAAGCACTGAAAGTTAGTAGGCCGTTTGTGTTTGTTTGCCTGAGTGAGGGAACTCCTCAGTTTGTATGAGGTAAAAGTTGCCTTGTGAGGGAGATCCTGTATGAAGGCTGCTGCATGTAAAGCCACTATGTATTTGTTTATTTGTGTTGTGGAAACCATTATTGTAAATATAGCAACTATATTATTTTACTACGAAGAAAAGCCTCCTACGGAAGATATAACATTGGTCTGTGCGTTCTTTTCTTTTTGTCACTTTGGGCTACTGTTGCTGGGTCATGCTGCTGCTGCTAATAAGTTACTCTGCTATACATTCATAGGGAGGGTCTTTTGTTATTAAGCCCACTCGCCCAACAGAAAAGAGGTGCTTAAGCTTTTCCTATAAGGAGTAAGGAGACAAGTGTGAATATTGCAATTGGCCAGCTTGATTAGCATTGAATAGCCTTGCAGCTTCAAAGTCTGTCTGCTTCCTGCCCAGGGCAATCCTTTGTTGGAAGGTGTTAGCTGGCTCTGATTGATTCTTATCTAGAATTCCCCTGTTTTTTGAGTGTTGCTCTTTATTTCCTGTCCTGATTTTAGATGTTTTTTTAAAAAATACTGGTAGCCAGATTTTGTTCATTTTCATGGTTTCCTCCTTTCTGCTGAAATTGTCCACATACTTGTGGATTTAAATGTAACTCTAAAATCAGGATGGTAAATAGAGAGGAACACTCAAATAACAGGGGAATTCCTGACATGAAACAATCGGGTCCAGCTAACACCTCCCAGCAAAAGATTCCCACCCCCTCAGGCAGGAGTCAGCCAGTCTTTGAAGCTATAAGGCCATTCAATGCTAATCAAGGTGGCCAATTTCAACATTCACACTTACCTCAAGCAGACAAGTTCTTTCTCTCACCCTGGACATTCCACAGAAATTGCCTAGTTTCTAACATGGCCATACAGCCCGGAAAACTCACAGCAGCCCAACTATATTGTTCCCAACACTGTAAATTCCCCTTACCCCAGCCAGCACAAAAACAAGCTCTTTGAGGCTGATAGGAGTTGTAGTCCAGCACCTCTGAGGTGAGGAAGGATGATATAATAGCCCAGTGTATCCATATATACCAAAAACATTTCCTCCCTGCTTAAGAAAATTAAAAACAAGGAAAAAAATTCTGAATGCATTTCTTTTCCAAGATTGTCACTGCATTTCCTTTCCTCGTGCCCTTTTTACTCCTTACCTTATCAACATCTGAGTGAACAAGGAGGTGCTTTGATTCCACCTCGGCATGGTCATAATCTGGGGGCAAAATCCAGTGCCCAATCTCCTCTCGGTCCATTTTGCCATCTTTATTGAGGTCCCGATGGTCCAGGAATTGTTGACGTTCACTCTTCACCCAGCTGGGCTCTGGCTCTCCCGTTTCAGGACTATACATGTCGCCTGGCCATAAAACACAAAATGCCAAGATATGTACTGATGTATGTACATCTGTAATGGTATCTTGCCCACCAATGGTGATGATTAAAAGCTAAAGCAGTGTCCTCCCTGGTAATATATAGGTTAAGCAAGGTCTTACTCAAAAGCAAGAATAGGGGTAAAGTAAAGTTTCTGTTTCTTGTCTCTCTCCTTAAGAAGCCTTGTAACTCTTTTTCAAAACCAATGGTATGGTCCCTTTCTTACCAAGATATTCATCCACTTCTACAAAGCCATCTCCATTCTTGTCTATGTCCTCAATGGTTTCCTGGAAAAATAAGACAGCAGTTAGTAAAAAGCACAGTGGAGCTTTCTGGACTCAACACATTTATGTTTCAGCATATTAACCACATCTGCAACCATTACATCAAGTTTAAAGTTGGCTTCAGGCATACTCAAAACACTGGCTAAAATTCTTGAAATCAATGGGCAAAATCCAACAGCTAGTCATAAATAGCATAGACGCCAGACATAAATTATTTTTTAAAGTCAGATTAATTCAGTGGCTGTATTCTAGGTCAAAAAGATTTGGCCATGTGAGACTAACTGTGATGAACCTAACTAACACCTGGCTTAAGTATGATCCAAATGAGAAGCTTTATTGAATCTTGCTTTATTCATCTTACTTTGTGGTGCAGTTTTGCTCTTATTCTATACATGGTTCTTGTCAGAAATATTAAAAATTAACTAGATATTTTTAATTAGAAAAATGTGAGTCAAGCACTGAAAGCGTTAAACAGATGCAATGACTCAGCAAAAGCTGTAGTTCTATATAAGCAGGTGTGCCTGTAGTTTAGTAGTCTCAGTTTGTGAAAGGTCTCTGTGGGAGAAGGGCCTCAGTATGAGGGAGTCCTCAGTGGGAGAAAGGCTCTCAGACTGATGCCTCTCTCACACTGAGGCCTACTCATACTCAGTGAGAGAAATGCCTCAGTGTGAGGTAAGCCTCCGTTTGTGAAGGCCTGGTGTGAGAGGCTTCGGTGAGAGAAGCCCCAGGTTGAAGGCCATCAAGTGAGAAAAGCTCTAGTGTGAAGCTCCTGTGTAACTTAGGTGTGAGAAGAGGCTCAGTGAGAGCTAAGCTTTTTATCTGCATGAGAAAGAAGCCCAGCATGGAAGCAAAAAAATAAGTGTAAAGAACTTTATTTGTGTTATGGAAACCTTGTTATTGTAAATAGTGCAACCATATTATTTTGCTATAAAGAAAAGCCTCCAAGATAACATTGGTCTGTGTGTTTTTGTTCTTTTTATCACTTTGGGCTACTGGTGCAGGGTCACAATGCTGCTAATAAGTTACGCTGCTGTGCATTTATGGAGAGGGTCTTTTGTTAATAAGCCCCCTCGCCCAATAGTTCTCTCTGCAGTATATTTATTATATTTTAATTCATTTACACTGACTGAGTCAGAGGTGCTGTGCAGTTCAAGTAAGAACACTGATATTTAGGAATTCTCGTTCTATAGAAATATGGAAACCGCAAATGTAATGCATGAAATTGGTTTTGAAAGCAAAGGGAAATGTCCCTCCCCTAGGCTACCAAAGCCTAGATCTTAAATAAGTTCTTTCCTTCTCACCAAAGAATTTAAGATACCAGTCTCACCGTCACCACAACATCTTTCATATAGTCAAATTCTTCAGGGTGGAGGAAGGCAGTGAACTCCTCCCTTGTAGCACTCAAGTCCCCATCCTTGTCAGCTGCCTTGAACCGCCGCTCATCTCGGGCTAACATTCGCCGGTAGGAATCTTTGTCCTCCAGATCACCAAACTCCTCTCCTAAAGGAAGCCAAGATGGGAATAGCCATGAAGCCCAGAGTAGATTTAGATCACACAATCAAGTGTCAGAGGCTCTCTTTCAAGATGGATGGGATATGTGCAGGATCCCTCAAATGTTGATGAATTAAATTATGTTCCTGGTTTAAAAATGTTGTTTCCTGTATAATTGTGTGGTACTTACTTTTACTTTTATAATATATTGTATATACATATAATATTTATAATATTATAATGTAATACAATATAATACTAGTAATAATAATATAATATTATAATTATATATTTACATTACATATAATATTACTAATAATATTACAATATAATGGTATAGTGCAATATAGTAATATATAATACTGATAATGTACTATGTTAATAATATAATATAATGTATGAAAATATATCTTATAAGCCCCTCTGAGTCCCCTTTGGGGTGAGAAGGATGGCATATAAATGCCATAAATAAATAAATAAATAAATAAATAAATAAATAAAAGTAGTTATTATACTCTAGAAACCTTTTTTGTAGCTGCCACAAACTATGTTGAATTGGTTGAGATTCTATGAGACATTCATTGAAAAAGGTAAAGGTCAAAGTTTCCCCTTGACATTAAGTCTAGTCATGTCCAACTCTGGAAAATGGTGCTCATCTCCATTTCTAAGCCAAAGAGCCAGCGTTGTCCATAGACACCTCCAAGATCATGTGGCCAGCGTGACTGCATGGAATACCGTTTCCTTCCTGCAGAAGTGGTACATCTTGATCTACTCACAGTTGCATGTTTTCAAACTGCTAGGTTGGCAGAAGCTGGAGCTAACAACAGGAGCTCACCCCACTCCCTGGATTTGAACCACCAACCTTTTGGTCACCAAGTTCAGCAGCTCAGCAGTTTAACCCGCTGTGCCACTAGCAAAATGTACTGCAGGATGTCTTGCAAAATCAAAGTTTTTGCAGTTTAATAAACCTTTTCCATGTTTTATCATAGACCCAATTAGAAAATGACATTTATAATCCAGGAACACAAATTGTTACATAGGGTTATCAGTCCCACTTTGACCAAGAGCTGTAGTCTGGAGCTTCACTGTCCTATAAAAGAGAAATTACAGGGCATCTCACACATCTATGTTAATCTTCTTGGGACATTCACAAGGGAAGAACGACATCACAGGAACTGATTCTGCACAAAGGGAACTTTCTGAGGTGATCTCCTGAACTCTTTTCAGGGTTATCAGACAAAACTAAAGACAAGTGTTACTTATCAAACAACCAGGTAACAGGCAACACCTCTTGAAATTCTCTCTTCTACACAACCCTTCAAAGTTCAAGAGCTGTTTCTAGTTTTTGCTCTGAAAATATTCTGGCCTCAACATACGTTGTATTTAGCTGTATGTTTATCCAGATAGTCAAGACTGAACTTTATTCTTGGACTTACGAGGCACCAGCATCCTATTTATGATGTGCACTGACTACAACAGCTTTTTTGTTTCCTGGAAACTCTCCACTGATTGTCAGCAAACGGTTCATAGATGGCTCACAAACCACCATTTCAAATTGTACTAGTTTTTAGAGAGTAGAACTGGAACCTGGGAAATTCCTGTTCTACTTTCCACTGGTCCATGCAATCTGTTGGATAACCTTGGCCCAGTCACTCACTCTCACCCTGACCCACTTCACAGGGCTCTCGTGTGAATAAAATGAGGGCACCTGAATGAGTGAAAGGTAGGATATAAATACAACTCATAAGAATAAAAATAGAGGACACAAAGCTATGCAATAGCCCTTTTTATAATGTCAATTAAATTTCACGGAACATATAATTAGCACCTATATGGAGAAGTAGAACGGTGAGATCTTGTAAGTCTACCTGTTGAGTTTTAAAACCCAACATCACTGAAGCTCCTGGTGACACAATAGGTTAAGCCTTTGTGCCGGCAGGACTGCTGACTGAAAGATCGGTGGTTTGAATCTGGGGAGCGGGATGAGCTTCCGTCCGTCAGCTCCAGCGTCCTATGCAGGGACATAAGAGAAGCCTCCCATAGGATGGTAAAACATTCCTCTGAAGATGGCCAATTCTCTCACACCAGAAGCGACTTGCAATATCTCAAGTCGCTCCTGACACGAAAAATAAAATAAAATAAAACAATTGGCTAGGCATGTTGGAAGTTTAGGACCATGGATGAGGTCTACTGTCTCCCACTCCCACCCTGGCTTTTGCCCACTCTTATTCTATATACAAATGGTGACAGCATTCTGTTTTGTACATCTCTGTCCATTCAGTGTTCAGATTCTAGTGGCTCATGGGTTAAATATAGCCCTTTGACAACCAGGAATTGGCTTGCAAATCCTCTGTACTTCTCCAGTTGCAGAAACCCAAGTGTTTGAGACTCAGGCAGCTTTCTCCTCATAGCTTATTCCTGAAGGTGGTAAACTGCCAGACACCTGGGGAGAAAAACACCAATGGTTCCCTTTCTCTTTCAGGGAAGCATGCCAGCCTGGACCTTGCAGCCTCAGCCAGCTCCCACAATGCTGGTAAGCCAGCACCA